AAGATAAATATAATTTATTTATTTCATATATACAATATGGATGTCAAATCAAAGATCATCAAAAGATGATTAATTTGATATATTATATATGTAAAACTGATAAGAAATACAAAAGTTATCATCTTTTAAAATACATTTATAAATCAATAGCTAATTGAAGGAAACAAATCAAAAGTCTGAGATATATTAATCACTTAGTGCCTCAGTATCTAAAATTACAAAGAAATAAAGGGTTATATTAGTACAAGTGATATATAAGGAGAATTTTATTTTTTTATTATAAAATATAATTTTTTTTTTTTTCATATTATTATTTTTTTTATAATAATAATATAATATATGTATGCATACAAAATATGTTTAAAAATAATATTTTTATATAAATTTTATAAATTGTAGATTTGACCCAAATGTTAAAATAAAAATAATCGAAGTTTACAAAATTGCAAATAGGTCCTTTACACTGATCAAATTCCCAAAATCATGGCCTAAAATTCAATGCTCACTTTCATTCCCGTCAGACCTCCGAGCATCACACCGCCGGCAGCCACCAGCCCAGATCCACCACCACCACCTCGAAAATCTATTTTTTATCTGTTTTATTTACGAATTTATGTTCGTCTAGTGTGATTTCCGTCGATCTCGTCCCCATTTTTCACGGCCAAGAACCTGTGTGGCGAAGACTGGAGGATGAGGTTAAATATAAGGTGGCGGCGTCAGGACAGCTGCGAGCGACGACGACGAATTTTCTGTCGGTGGCAATCCGCAGCTGCGAGCATCGGCGGCGAGCGACAAACGACAAACGGCCAGCGTAGACGACAACCTGTGCGTGATTCTCTGTGTGTGCTTTGTCGGAATACTGTGTGTGAGGCCCCGTGTGTGCGTGTTGGCCGTCTTGTGTGTGCATCGGATTATTGTGTATGTAAATGTGTGCGTGCGTTGTGTATGTGTGTGTGAGGGAATGTGTGGGGTGGACGGGGTGACTGGGACAGGTGTGGTTGGTTGATATGGAGTGGGTCCCATTTTTTTTTCTTTTTTGTTTGTTGTGTGAAAATGACCACAATGCATGTATAGTTTTGACTTTTTTTTTTTTT